ACACTCTTCCGATGCCTTATCCTATCCTGCCTGCCGATGCCTTATTTTGGCCAGGACCCAAAAAGCTGCTATCTGTTGCCATGACTTCTTGTTAATAAATAGCAGACTATGAATCTGGATTAAGGAAGGAAGGAAGGAAGGAAGGAAGGAAGGAAGGAAGGAGATTTTCCCACCTGGCTAAAGGTTGGGAGTCCACAAATGGCCAGCTGTGAATGTGCTCATGGCCCATAGACCTGGCTCTGACACAACAGACCCAGAGAAACAGACAATCTGCACAGGACACCTAAGCCTGTAAATTATACAGGTGCATCTGTATTTGCGTAATCTTAAGCAAAAAATGTTTTATGCTTTTCTCTATAATCTATTGCTACTGTGAGATCACATCAACCTTTATCTGTTGATAAACTGTTGATAAAAATACATTTTTTGGCAATGAATATAAGTTTGGAATTCTGATCTGCTTTCTGCATCTTCTTTAGGACAAGCAGGGGAAAACATGCATCTTGAAAACAAATTTACCATCTTTACAAGATTGAAGAAGGACCCTGTAGATGAGCAGAGCTTCCACATGTTGACTGCTGTGCTTCAGCATCTGGCAAAAAATGTAGAAAACAAACAAACAAAAAGGATTTATGAAAGATCAATATATCTCACATTTAGCAGGCATGTGCATGTCTGATAATTACAAAAACAGAAAAGGTTTATACTGAAAGCCTACAATCCTTGCAAGCATATTCAAATAAAATTGTGTTGGGTTTCCAGATGCTTGAAGCTTTTTAATCCATGCACATTTTAAATATATTTGAATACATCTGGAAGCTAAACCATGTAACACATTTTGCTGACTGTATTGGTTTTGTGCACAATGCCAAAGCTGACACCAATTCCTCTTTTATTTTTCTGTCAACACGACTCAATGGGAACATTGTAACAAAAAGTCATTTCTTTCAAACATATGTACCAGATTATCATGCTGTCACAAATAGTCAGTTGATGGGAGGTTAGGGCTTTTGTACTTAGACAGTTTAGTCAATAACAGTAAGTCGTTAAAAAATTGCACTGCCTTTGATGTCCTTTCCAGTGTCTAATCTATACGATACCGCTGATTGTATCACTGTTTTAAGCGCAAAATGTGCCTCACACTGTGATGGTGTATGAACCAAAGTTCACTTTTTCACTCTCCCCGTGGCAGTCTTATGTAACCTCTTTTTGGAGGGTCCAGTCTAAGCTTGGAGATTTTGATTACTGCCATATACACCAGAAGCACAGTGTACCCTACTGTCATCTCTACTGAATGTGAAGGACTGACAGATGGGCCTGAATCAGAAAGAAAGCAATAAACAATTTGGGATGTCCCATCTGTTATAATTCTGGTACTAGAGCAGTCCAGAGAAGCATCAGCACCATATTCCTCCATTCCTGAGGCTTGACCATGTTTCAAAGACATTCAGAACACCTGAAAAACATCTAAGAGGGACCACACTGGTCATCTCTGCCACATTTTACCTCCCTAGAGCTGTTCCGAATGCTCTGCAGTATTGCTGTCTCAGCCTTGGCCAGAACATCAGAAGAGACTGAGAGAAACAAGCTCAAACAATTTACAGTAAGGGTTGGAAGAGTGGGTATTAGCCGACTTTGTCCTACCTTCTTAGTAACAGATGTTTAGTGCCAAAGGGGAAAGAGAGGCAGGGAGGATGTCTTTATAGATAAAAGAAACTAAGAGGTTTAAAATAAAAGGATCCCTCACAGGGACATCTTCTGTGTGCATCACTTTTTTCTGGCCATTCAAGTGGTTTTCACATCCCTGCATGTGCATGTATGGGCAGACAGATGCCTTCTGTCCTTTCATAAAGTTCATAGTTGTGCATGACTTCATCTCTTAGCTTATATTTAATTGAAGCGTAATAGATAGACAATTATCCCTTGGATGCACAACATACCAATATCTACACTCTTCCACGAGTGGGGTCAAAATTGACCCCAAATAAAATCAATGCATTTTGCAATAAACTCGGTTGTTATTCTTTAAAATCTTTCAAACGAAGAGCTGTAATATTTTCATATTCCAGGTATTCCTCATAAAACATGTTTGTGACATGAGGCCACTTGCATTTTTATTTATTTTTTCATTAATTTTAAGAAATTGCAGTTTTTGTATCACTTGTATCACTTTTGTATGCTTGCTCAACATATACTGCAGAAGCTGTGTCTTCCCTCTGAAAGGCACGAGTTGTTCATCCACTGTAACACAATCAGTGAGGATGAATTTCTGCCTGCCGTTGACCAGGAACAGGCCCCATATGTAGCGGAAAGCTGCCATGTTGTTTGTTTTCAGTCGGCAGGCTCTGGTCCTCTTGTCATCAAAGTGCAAGAAATGGCGAATATCTTCAAATCTACGAATTGACATAGTGGCCTTGTACAATGGGTTATGCAGAGGACTCCCAAAAAACACATAGACTTGTACATCCCAGTTCTTCTCACTTCCTGCAAGAATGGTCAATCAAATGAAGGCCAGGAGCTTATGTTTGATTACATTTTTCCACTCTTTTCCCCTGTCTGTGGCTACTCTTTGTGCCTCCATGTTTGTGCATGTCAGCATCTCTTCTATTATATTATCAGACATGAACATCTTCCATGCATCTCTTGGGGAGACAGTACTAAACCCAGGTGCAAGCCCTGGCCAACTATTCAGAATATTGTGGCTTGGTGTTTTAGCCTGGCTGGGAGGTAACTCTGCCCAGTAAGAGCAGTAAGAGGAGCTCATTCTGTTAGACACAATATCCATTTCCTCTTCAGAGGACTCATCAGAGGACTTCTCTGTACCAGACTGGCATTGTTCAGTGGCAGGACAATAGTCATCTCTACATCTGAGATGTCAGATTCTGAGTCAGTTCCTTCAATGGGCTCTTCATCCCATCCATCCTGGATATTTGTAGGGCAAGGTTCACAAGGATCCTGGCTGGCCTCATAGCAGCTATGTTAGATATTAAAAAAAACAAAACATCAGAAAGGAAAATGTTTGAAATGCACAGGAAACTATAAATCATGTATGTTGCTGTGTAAAACTTAATTCCTGATTCATCAGATTTGTAAGTGGGACAGTCAGAGCTGCTAAGAATTAATGGTTCATAGCAGATTCCATAGGAACTGTTTGTGGAAGAGC